ATTCGACACCCCTGGTCTAAAAGGTTAGCCTGACAGTGTCGGGTTAACTAAGTCTAAAAGGTTAGCCTGACAGTTAACCAAACATTTGGCCTGACATTTAACCTGACAGTTCACCAAACAGGTATCCTGCCAGTTAGCCTAACATTTAAACTTAAAATTAGTCTGACATTAAGTCAAATAGCCTGAAAGTTTTGCCTGACAGTTTAGCAGGACAATTAGCTTGACAGTTACCCTGACATTTAAACTTAAAATTAGCCTCACAGGGAGTCAAATAGTTAGCCTCATAGTTAGCCTGACATTAAGTCTGATAGTAAGTTTGAAAGTTAGCTTGACAGTTAGCCTGACAATAACTCTGAAATTAAGTATGCCAGTTATCCTGACAGTTAACCAAACAGTTAGCCTGATATTACCACAACTCTTAATCGGACAGTAAACCTAACATTTGGCCTGATAGTCTGCCTGACAGTAAAGCTGACAGTAAGCCTGACAGTTAGCCTGATAGTTAACCTGACAATAAATCTGACAGTTAGCCTGACAGTTAACCTAACAGTTAGCCTGAAAGTTAGCTGGACAGTTACTACCCCAACAGTCAGTGGACAGTAAACCTAACATTTGGCCGTATAATTAGCCTGACAGTTAACCTGTGAGTTAGCCTGACAGTAAGTATGATAGTAAGCTTGACAGTTAGCCTGATAGTCAATCTGAGAGCTAGCCTGACAGTAAGTTCCCAGCTAGCCTGACAGCTAACCAAACAGTTAGCCTGACGGTAAACCTAACATTTGGCCTGATAGTTAGCCTGACAGTTAAGCTGGGAAATTAACCTGGTCCAGGCTAAGTTTCCAGAGCAATGGAGCTTAAACTACATTGAATTTGCTTTATGGAACTAATAAAAACAAACAAACAAACAAACAAACAAAAAAAACAGACAATACATCAGACCAACTGAGACAATCCTGACTTACTTGGTAAACTCGTTTTATGGAACATAACCCAGGACTTCTGGACTGATAATCACACCTGTAGGCTAACGCTACAGGCTAACTGTAGTCTGACAGTTAGCCTGGACGGGGCTAGTTTCCAAACATAAATTTCCAGAGTAACCGAGCTTGACCCGTGTTGAATTTGTCTACGAAGCTAAAATAACCCGACAATAATCTGGACTCACTAAAAATAATCCTGGTTTATTTAGTAAACTCACGTTCCACATCAGAGCTCATCAGACTTCGTTAACTTTAACTAGAACTAAGCTAACATTTCCTGCTATGGTTGGAGGGTTTTATTAATCTTCTCTCATCAAAGCGTTTCTGGATTAAAACTGAAATAATCCACAAAATACAAAAACGCCTGAACGCCGCCGTCGCCGGGGTTACGGCTCTGCTGCAGCTCGTTTTCACCGTCATTTAAACCTCCATTACTGCGGCGTCTTCAATCAGAGGAATGCGAGCGTCTCCCCGCGCGACCCTCCGACACCGAGCGACAAGGCAGCGGTAATGCAATAACAATAATGTAAGTGGGTAATAAGTGGAGCGGCTGGATTGTTCCCAGGGCGACGGAGCGGGGAGGAAATGATGGAAACATGCTCTGGGCTCCCTCGGGATCCGCTCGGCCTGACATGAGAGCATCTTGAGAGGCCGGATACTGTTACCGCCGCCAGATGTTGACGCACGATCACTGCTGTAGCTGCTGCCTTTAAACGCCGCGGCGAGGACGTTTTAAGAGCTTCTTAGGGCTGAAATATTGGTTCCATAAAAATCAGGCGGCGCTCGAGCTCTTTCTCGCCGGCTTGAAATTAAATTACAGTGCGTGCGATCCCGTCTCGAGTCGTGCTTTAAAGGACAACGGTGCACGAAACTAATTGAAAAGCGGCTTGGAATCACGCGAATGCCTCCGCAGCACGTTGTGGACGTCGACGCCGGCTTTGTCGACAACCTTTTCTCTTTTCTCGGAGCCCCCATTGTGGAATGCACCAGGAAGAAACGAACCTTTTTCATCCATTCAGCGAGCGTCCGATCTATTTCAGCGCGTGTTCGGGGGGTCAGATCCGATTCTGAAAGCTTTCACGCGGCTCCGTCCAACAGTCCGTCTCGATTTAGTGAAAAGAAAATTGTTGTGGAGGTTCACTTGTCTTTTCTGCGCCCACAAAATTGGAGCCAATCTGACCCCAATTTTTGTTTCGGAGAAGGATTCCTCTTTGCTTCCTTTGCTAGACAAACACAAAGCGACCCAACGAGTTACTGAAGGCGTTAAAACCTAAACAGAGGCATTGTAGAGAGAGAGAGAGCGTTGGCGGCTCTGAAGCAGAACGCAACATACGTTTAATAGGTTCAGTCAGATTTTAATTGGCTTTACAGAAACGTGTCTCAGAAATACGATGAAATAAACAGAATCGATGCATCTCAGTTCAAAACAAGACGAATCGGTTTGTGTCGGAATTCAGGAAACACGTCGATGCGTCGTCCCAGAGTTGATTTACTTGTAATCTCCGACCCAAACCTGAACTCTGTCCAGTATTTTGGGCTCAAGTTTGAGAATTTCCTGTTTTCAGATCATGTTTTTGTGTTTTCACACTCAAAAAAAATCAGTTTAAAGATTCAATATCTCCAGAAATGAAACTCAGACAGTCGTGAAATCTGGTGACGCAGACAGAACAGTTCACAGCAGATCAGGGCGACTGAATAAACACATTTTTAGCCGTTTAAATTGGTAAAAAGCAGAATTTTCCAGATGTGGTATCATGTCTCCATAAAGTTCCTGTCAGTGTCTGTCTATGGATGGATACATGGTTCTACTAGAACCCAGTCTCTGGTCACATTTCACCAACTGTTGAGGCTCTAACATCAGCAGAACCTGATGTGGTAAAGCTGGACCAGACAAGGGTCCAGGTTCTAGATGTTTAGACCTGAAACCAGTTTCACTCAAAACGTGTCCAAAATGACTCAGAATTATCCAAAAATGATGCAAAACATTTCTAAATTAGTCTAAAAATGACCTTAATTGTCCAAAAATGACAGAAAATGACCTAAAATGTGTCCAAAACTGACATAAAATCGTCCTAAACAACTTAAAATTGTTTAAAATGATCAAAAATTGACCCACAGTTACTCAAAACTGTCACCTCTGGACAAATTTTGGATAATTTTTTGTCCATGTTTGGAAAAGTATCCAAAATTTGTCCATAACTGATCATGTTCAGCGGCCAGTGATTATGTATTAATGTTTATTTGGACAATTTCCGTAATTTGGGGCCAATTTTTAGTCATTTTAAACAATTTTAAGTTGTTCAGGACAATTTTATGTCAGTTTTGGACAAATCTTGGATCATTTTCTGTCAATATTTGGACAATTGGTGTCATTTTTGGACTAATTTAGGACATTTTTGCATCATTTTAGAGAATTCTGAGTCATTTTGGACTCGTTTCGAGTCATGTAGGACAATTATGAGACATTTTTAGGAACTGGAACCTGGTCTGGTCCAGCTTCACCACATCAGGTTCTACTGATGTTAGAGCCTCAACAGGTGGTGAAATGTGACCAAAGACTGGATTCTAGTAGAACCATGGATCCATCCATAGACAGACACTGACAGGAACTTTCTGGATCAACACCAGCCTGGTTGGAGGTTTAACACTTTCTTCCCCCCCATTTTCAGTGGCCAATGATTATTCATTGTTGTTTATTTGGACAATTTGGAGTAATTTTAAATAATTTTATGTCGGTTTTAGACAAATTTTGTGTAATTTTTTGTCAATTTTTGAACAATTAAGGTGATTTTTGGACTAATTTACAACATTTTTGCATTAATTTTCAATAATTTGGAGTCATTTTGGTCACATTTCACAAACTGTTGAGGCTCTAACATCAGTAGAACCTGATGTGGTGAAGTTGGACCAGACAAGGTTCCAGGTTTTAGATGTTCAGACTAAGTGCTGATCATTGGTAGGAACCAGAACCTGGAGTTCACAGGTTCTAGATGTTGGCTTTATACATCCAAACGTCTAAAAACTGGAACCATGTCTGGTCCAACTTCACCACATCAGGTTCTGCTGATGTTAGAGCCTCAACAGGTGGTGAAATGTGACCAGAGACTGGATTCTAGTAGAACCATGGATCCATCCATAGATAGACACTAACAGGAACTTTCTGAAGACCGGCTTCACTAAACTTCACGTCTGTAGGAGTTTCATTTCTGGAGATATTGAACCCTTCAAACTGTTTCCAGGTTCTTCTGAGCAGGACAACAGGTCAGAAAACACGAAACTCTCAAAATTCAGCCAAAAAAACTATTTGACGGGATTCAGTTTTGGGTCCAAAACTAACAAATAAATGAACTAAATGTGAGACGGTGGATCTGAACCGACACAAACGGACTCATTTGACAATATAAAGCACAAACAAAGCAGGTGGCAGCTGAGTGAAGCCTTTAGACTGTGTGGAGCTACAGAGCTTTGGTCAAACATTTTAGGTTTTAAGTAAGAAACGTGGAAATGTTAAGACAAGTGAGGAGCTGCTGCATCCCAGAACTTACCGCTGGGAGTCCACAGCGTTGGAACATTTAAATAAAAGGCACTTATGAGTGACAATAACAAGCAGGAGGAAGGAACGAGTGGGTAAAAATGTACAATAAATACAGTTTCTGGTTCACTAAATATCAATATTGGCTCTTATTTATTGTGACTCTTTTAGTGTCTGTTGGACTTAATCGTATATCAACAAGCCAAAGTGATTCATTACAGGTGGAATGTGACGCATGCATTCAGGTAAAAGTTTGTTTTTTTTACGACAAATAGGAGCAAAATAACACGTATGGTTTAGCGTTTAGCACGTGGTCCATGTTTCATGAAGTGTTCCCTCTCAGTCGACGTTCCTGTACCTGGAGAAGAGGTTGTAGAGGACGCGCAGGGTGGACTTCAGGTCGCAGTTCACGATGTCTGAGGAGAAAACAGGACGACAGAGGAGTTTATTAAAACCACTGCAGCAGCTTCGGCTCCTGTTGAGCTTCACGAGCAGAACAAACTCAGCAAACGCCTGCCAGACGCTACCAGGTGATCACAGCCAATCGGTTCAGGGCGCGAGAAAAGAGAAATCAGTTTGGAAAGATTCTGAGACCCCGATAAGAACTTCTTGACTTGTTTTTTTTTTGCCAGTTGATTTTAAAGAATCCGTTGAATGAAAACCATGAAGATGTCACAGCCGACATCCCGTCACGGAGGCTCATCGTCTGCATTCTGTCAGCTGCACTAACTCATGGTACAAACCAAAAAAACCCAAAACACAACATCTGATTTATTCTCTCTGTACAACAGAACCCGACCTTTTTATTTCTTTAAAGTTTGAATCAACCCCAAAAATGTGGTGGCCTTAGATTCTCCCAAAACCTTCATCAGGTTTAAAAGTTATCGTCATAAAAAAGGCAAAAATGATGAAAATC